ACCCTCAAGGGGCGTACAATCTAAGGTCCCTAACTCACATTCATACATACACATACTAGGGCCAATTTAGACAGGAGCCAATTAACCTACCAGCATGTCTTTGGAGTGTGGGAAGAAACCAGAGTACCCAGATGAAACCCACGCAGGCACAGGAGAACAGGCAAACTCCAGGCAGGTGGTGCCATGGTTGGGATTTGAACCAATGACCCTAGTACTGCCAGGCAGAAGTGCCAACCATATAGCCACTGAGCTGCCCATAATTTCCCTTTGAGAGTGTTGCACCAAAAAGGATATTTTTGTTTCAGGGGATGGCCAAAATCTGACTTCTGGGAAAATCTGCGAGCCAATCACACAAGCAGAAAATGACATATCTGAGGGGCGTTCTGTACACTTTGTGCAGAACACCTCCAGGTTGCCATATAGCATTTTACAGAAAATGACAGCACTGCAGATTGAAAAGGAAAGGGAATTTTGAATAATATTCAATTACAATATGACTTGTATTGCCTTTGTATATATGATGTTGTTATTTTTTGCTTGCTGTTTTTATATTCCTACAAAAGTGGAGTTACGCTTTAACAATAAATGTAATATTCAACACACTAAAATGATTGCACAGATGTTTTCCACCTAAAATATCTCCAGCCTGCTGTGTTACTAATTGATTCTATGGGCAGAAAAATGCTCGGGGCCCATTTACACTGTGGGGTTTGTACGCTTTCCACAGCGCATTAGCAGCGCACGTGAGCAGGCGCCATGTTTATTATGGGAAATCATGAAACATGCCTATTAAGGCATGTTTCATGATTTCCCATAATAAACATGACGCCTGCTCACGTGCCAGCCCTGTGGTGTGTTTTGATGCGTTCACAAGCCTTGCTCAATGTCTGTTAACCCCATCCAGCCCAAATTCTAAATTAAAACTCGCATCCAAATGCATGTCAGGAAATGCACTTTGGCGCATGACAACGCACCTGCCTAATGTTACAAAAACACACCCCTCTATGCACATGTATACATCTAAATTGAAGATAACAAGAACTTGCAGCTGTTAGAAAATAAAGATTGCACACCTGTTTCTATACGTTATGTAAGCGGCAAAATAATTATTTTTACACCTGTTTCCATACGTTTATGCAAGCGTCAAAATAGTTTTTTCATACTCCTGTTTCTATACGTTTATGTAAGCGGCAAAATAATTTTTTTTACACCTGTTTCTATACGTTTATGCAAGCGTCAAAATAGTTTTTTCATACTCCTGTTTCTATACGTTTATGTAAGCGGCAAAATAATTATTTTTACACCTGTTTCCATACGTTTATGCAAGCGTCAAAATAGTTTTTTCATACTCCTGTTTCTATACGTTTATGTAAGCGGCAAAATAATTATTTTTACACCTGTTTCTATACGTTTATGCAAGCGTCAAAATAGTTTTTTCATACTCCTGTTTCTATACGTTTATGCAAGCGTCAACATTATTTTTTATTTACACCTGTTTTATATACATTTATGTAAGCATAAAAAATTGATTTTTTTTTTACACCTGTTTTTTCTACACGTTTATGTAACGTTGAAATAACCTGTTTTTTTTGTTTTTTTACACCTGTTTATATACGTTTATGTAAGGGTCTGAATACATTTTTTTTTTTACACCTGTTTCTATACGTTTATGTAAGCGTCAAAATAACCTGTTTTTGTTTTGTAAGCGTCGAACACCTGTTTATGTAAGCGTCTAAATATTTGTTTACACCTGTTTCTATATGTTTATGTAAGCGTCGGAATAATTTTTTTTTTACACCTGTTTCTATACGATTATGTAAGCGTCTAAATAATCTTTTCTTACACCTGTTTCTGCATGTTTATGTAAGCGTCTAAATAATTTTTTTACACCTGTTTCTATACGTTTATGTAAGCGTCAAAATAGTTTTTTTCATACACCTGGTTCTATACATTTATATAAGTGTTGAAATAATTTTTGTTTTACACCTGTTTCTATACGTTTATGTAAGCATTGAAATTATTTTTGTTTTATGTCTGTTTATACGTTTATGCAAGCGTCAAAATTATTATTTTTTATACACCTGTTTCTATACGTTTATGTAGGTGTCAAAATAATTTTTGTTTTACACCTGTTTATATACGTTTATGTAACCGTCGAAATAATTTTTGTTTTATATCTGTTTCTATACATTTATGTAAGCGTCGAAATTATTTTTTACACCTGTTTCTACACACGTTTATGTAACCGTCAGAATAAATTTTTTTTCACCTGTTTCTATACGTTTATGTAAGCGTCTGAATAATTTTTGTTTTACACCTGTTTCTATATGTTTATGTAAGCATCTGAATAATTTTTTTTTCACCTGTTTCTATACGTTTATGTAAGCGTCGGAATAATTTTTTTTTTACACCTTTTTCTATATGTTTATATAAGCGTCAAAATCATTTTTTTTTACACCTGTTTCTATACGTTTATGTAAGCGGCAAACATTTTTTTTATACACCTGTTTCTATACATTTATGTAAGTGTCTAAATATTTTTTTTTATACACCTGTTTATATAAGCGGCAAAATATATGTATTTTTACAGCTGTTTATGAAAGCGCCGAAATATTTATTTATTTATTTTTTAAATGTATAAAATAATCCTTTCAGCTTAGTGAATTGGTCCCTCTGTCTATACGCCTGGCCGCACTGTGGTACGTCATCAATGCTGCATCATTTGTGCCTGGCTACAGCCGGGACCTCCAGGTTTGTTGATGTATCGGAGGTAGTTTGCTCCCCTCTCGCTGATGCTGTGAGCTGCGATTGGCTGCTGCCCAGTAGCAGTGCGTGGGAAGAGAGGAGAGTTCCCGGCTGCCCACACAGTCTGAGATCACAGTCACATCGTTCTACAGGGAGGCTGTACTGCAGTGCTGCCTGTGCCTTACCTCCAGACACAGCTCCAAGCTGCCTTACTTCACCTTCTGTCAGCATGGCAGTCTCGTCTCTCACCTTTACCAACTGCCTGTGCGCCCTCTGGTCCTTGGGCTTCGCCTTCCACTTGCACTTTAAGGAGCCTGGCTACCGACATCATAAAGGTAAGTCATTCATTGTGTGAACTTGTAATGACGATGAGGGGGATTCCACGCAAAGCTGCAGCATCTGCTCTTTCTGCCTTTGTATCTGTCACTCCTGTCAGGATGATGGTGCCCATACACTGACAGATCTAAAGGAAAGATTTCCATTCCTTAATCCTAAGGATTACAAAAAGTGCTAAATGAAGGTGCCACGACCAGGCTGAGATTTGGGCAATCTGGCACTAATTGAATTGATCTTTCTGGATATCTGGTCTTCAATCACCAAAGCAAACCTTTCAAGCTGAACACTCTTTTGATGGTACAAAACCCATCAATTTATTAATCTAGATTTGATGTCTGCTCAGGGTCCATGCACGCTGGCTTAAAGAATTGTTGCTCCCGGAGTCCTAGAGGAGCTTAGCGTTTTTTTCCCCGGAGAAGCAACTAATGGCATCCTATGTGTCCATGCACATTAGGTCGTTTAGAGGCTAAAAAAATCCTTCTGTTTTTTTTCCTGGCCGGAAAAAACGCTAGTACAAAAAACGCTCAAACAACGTTTTTGTTTTCTTCCGCCAAGAGCACTGGCGGTTTTTTTAAACCAATGTGCATGGAGACTCAAAATGGATTAAAAATTGATCTGCTGATGATTATACTTTAAAGGTCCATCTAGATCTTTCTAAATAAAATTGGCAGCGGATCCTACAACAAATCTGTTACCAGTTGCTGTGTGTAGGATCTGCCCCCCGAAATCTACACGATCGCCGAGTTCAATGTCACACATTGGGTTGGCTTGATCTCAGAAAAACACACATATTTTGCTCCTTTCAACACCACGGTCACTGAGAATCCCAATCTGGTGAGGGGGAATTTAATTCCATGGTAGGACTGGTCTGTTGATGTGTCTGCCTATCATCCTAAAATAATTGACAGTTGCATAGAGTACACAATCATTTCTATTAACCAAAGGCACCATTTGATATCCTGTTTTTTTGCAATCTGATATTGTGTTTTGCGTACATCCGAGAATGAGGACAGCGCATGTTTATGAAATGACTGTTTGGAAGGACCCCATATGGTTGAGTGCGAGCTGATGTCTAACACAACAGGTCCACTTGCAGATTATCTCAGCGATATGTGCTGTATGTTTTATATCTCATTAGAAGGGTAGTAGTTCCATCTGTCAAATGGCCAAAACATCATTATTACACAATATAAACCTGGATGAAAACAGCTGTCCTCTGTAATACTGCGACCACTCGGCGTTCTGTGGGCGATTCACCTGGCACACGTATTAACACTTGCCTGTCCAAGTCAAGGATAAGTAAGCTGGAACATTTCCCTTCACTTCAAATGATTTCAATGTTGGAGACAATCATCATCACCCCCAGGGGTCGTCCTCAACGGCATGATCTATTATATTAGGGATGGGAGGTGGTAGGATGGGAGCTGTTCAACGCCAATCTAAAGCTGGCCATACAGAATTTCATTCTAAATGTTTAATCATTTATGACCACAAGTAATTAAAAACAATTTGAAGGAAAGGGGTGGAAATGTTTTTCGAACAAATTTATTTCTCGCAGTGAAAGTGGTTTGTTGTTCAGGAAAGTCCCTTTGTTCCTAAACTAAATCAGTTGTTAAAGCAAACACAATTTTGAAGTACTTTAGGAAGACTTTTATGTAGCCATCAAAGGTTCTGTAAAATTTCCTAAAAGTTTTTGCATGAATGATCCCTCAAAGATCTACTAGTGTATGGCTAGCTTAAAGTGTTACTAAACCCCGGACCCCGCATGCACTATATCTGGTCTCCCCCCGGACCCTGCATTCATTATATATGGTCTCCCCGGACCCTGCATTCACTATATCTGGTCTCCCCGGACCCTGCATTCCCTATATCTGGTCTCCCTGGACCTTGCATTCACTATATCTGGTCTCCCGGGACCCTGCATTCACTATACCTGGTCTCCCCGGACCCTGCATTCACTATGTCTGGTCTCCCCCGACCCTGCATTCACTATGTCTGGTCTCCCCCGACCCTGAATTCACTATGTCTGGTCTCCCCCGACCCTGCATTCACTATACCTTGTCTCCCCAGACCCTGCATTCACTATATCTGGTCTCCCCAAACCCTGCATTCACTATATCTGGTCTCTCCGGACTCTGCATTCACTATATCTGGTCTCCCCGGACTCTGCATTCACTATATCTGGTCTCCCCGGACCCTGCATTCACTATACCTGGTCTCCCCGGACCCTGCATTCACTATATCTGGTCTCCCCGGACCCTGCATTCACTATACCTGGTCTCCCCGGACCCTGCATTCACTATATCTGTTCTCCTAGGACCCTGCATTCACTATACCTGGTCTCCCCGGACCCTGCATTCACTATACCTGGTCTCCCCGGACCCTGCTTTCACTATGTCTGGTCTCCTCGGACCCTGCATTCACTATATCTGGTCTCCCAGGACCCTGCATTCACTATATCTGGTCTCCCACAGTACACACAACATGGAAATGCAATTATTTTAGTAAATATAAACCCTAAATACCTTTTTTTCATCAGAAGTTAGAGCAGCCTTGTGACTTCTATTAGTGCCCAGCTGAGCACTGGTAAAGCTTGTAGGAGGAGTTTTCATTCTGCTGTAAGAGGATGCAGAACCCCTGACCTCTATCTAGACAGTGCTGATTGGTCCTGTGCTGATCACATGCACAATCCCAAGAAGAAAAAAAAAACCTCTCTAGCAATACACATTAAACTGAGCATGTGCAGAATGGCTACAGGTTCAGTCTGTCTTATAGCGTCGACATTTGAACAAGAGGAGGGGTAGAGAAGACGGGATCAAACAGCCTTTTTACACAATGCAGAGGATTAACCCCTTAGGTTCCACAGTGAGTATAACAAGTATGCTTTACTGCATATACAGACTGATTTTTACTGTTGTGGGTTTAGTAACACTTTAAGGTCACCACAAAAGACTGTTAAAAATGAACATATAGCTACTTTTTTACTTTTTCTTTCTTTTTTTTTGCTGTCTGTGTTCCATTGGGGAGATTTACTTATACTTCCTGTCCTGGAATGTAACAGGAAATGCAAGATCTCTGCGAAGGGGAATTTCTCTCTTAGATGCTTGTCAGTGGAACAGGTGTCCCCATTATTAGAATTGCCCTCACTGCTTGTTCTGGTAACATTTTGGATTTCCCCTCACTTGGTAAGAATGTGTAAAAAAAAAAAAAAAATGTGTTCACCACTGGGATTTTTTTTTTTTTTGCTATGTAAATTTAGCCAATCAGTGATCACATGATTGGGACCTCATGCAGAGGTCCTGTACAGCGATCGGACACAGCGGGCACAGGATTGCAGTGCCGCATGCTCCCAGGGAGTGCGCACAGGCTGAAAATGCGGGCACCGTTTATGAACAGCAACACGCTCCAGCACTGCTCCCGTCCGGCCGTTTATATACATGGGCCGGATGGGAAGTGGTTAAATAAAAGCATCCACGTGGAGCAAAAGACAGCATGTAAATCCACTTACTAAGATGGCTGCCAGACCTTCATGAGGACGCGGCGGCGTGATGTCCGTACGCAGACTCCTCTAAAAAATTGTTTTCTATGCTCCCCTGCAGTAACTAGCATTGATTCAGCATGAACAAAAATGGCATATGGCGTGAATGGGCCCTAAGTCTGGTAACCAAATCCTGTATAATAATAACCAAGTCCCCCCAATGGAGCTGCTCCATTGCTGGAACACTGCGAATCTACCGGGGTAGTTAGAGCATGACTTCATAGAAAAGGTAAAGGGATCACTTAGCAATCCTACCTGTAATGGGTTGTCACCAGTGACAGGATCATTCATCTGCTTATTCCAAAGCCACAAGTGCATAATTTGCAAACCAAAGGGGAATGATTCTCCTTGGCGCCATCTTGCATCTCGCCCAGCAGTGAAGACAACGCAGCCCCTTCTATCACAGTCACAGCTCTCTGCATGAGCCGGCAGCTGCGGATGGTTAGAGGTGGAGGGGGAATTATTCAGAGTTCAAGAGGAGGGCTTAGCAATTGACTTTTTATGCAAAGTCTAAATTTGCATCTCATTCACAGCAGTGTTTAGCCTGGTCAGGCTGCATGTTCTGGGGACCGAAAGACTGAGACTAAAACCGCTGATGGAGCAGTCTTCAAAGATACCACTATGTGTACATAAGCAGGAATTATTGGGACAAATAGTCTGTGTTGTTTGATATTTTGTTTTAGAAACACTGGGGAAGGGTTGGATTCTTGGTGAGGTTTTTATTGCTACCTGTGCCACCAAAGGGGAGATTTCCCATCACTTCCTATTCCAGTGATATCCTATGTATCTAGAGGTAACAAAAGGGACAGGAAGAGTTTGAGGTGGAGTTGGACTATAAGGCCGCATTGGTGGGTTTGCTATTGGCTGAACAATTTATATTTGGCAGTGGTCTTTGTAATCTTGAGAAATAAAAGTGGGGTGGTTTTAAAAATACTAGTTGACCAGGAGCCATGCTTATCCCCTGGCTTCAATACTTTGGGTCGCTGAGGCTCTGATCACTCTAGTGTGACTGTGGAATGCAACCTCCTTGCAACTTTCATGCGCACTATGACACTTAAGTCTCAAGACAGTTGCATCAAAGTAATGCAGGAACTATTTTTAAAGAAAATGTGACTTCAGTTGCATGGATTGGAACGCGTGCCATTGAAATTAATTGGCCTCAACTTAATGTGTCCAAAGTCACATGAAAAGTGGCACTAGTGTGAGCCTGACCTGAAAAAATGGTATTATTAAAGGTACTTATATAGCAGCGTCAATTTACGCAGTGCTTTACATATATATTGTACATTCACATCAGTCCCTAACCCTCAAGGGGTGTACAATCTAAGGTCCCTAACTCACATTCATACATACACATACTAGGGCCAATTTAGACAGGATCCAATTAACCTACCAGCAAGTCTTTGGAGTACCCCGAGAAAACCCACACAGGCACAGGGAGAACGTGCAAACTCCAGGCAGGTGGTGCTGTGGTTGGGAATCGAACCAACAACCCTAGTACTGCCAGGCAGAAGTGCTAGTCATTTATCCACTGTGTTAGCCCATGCAGGTAAGCACTTAACTAAAGGCTCTTTTTTTCTCATTTTGGATAACGTAAGGGGGTTAAAACTGTGTGTCCCATTTAAGTGATTTCCCTTCACTTCCTGTCCCATAGTCAAAACAGGAAATGAGAGGAAATTCCTGCAAAGTGAGACAATCTATATGTCCCCATTGGCAGATTTCCCCCATTTTCTTTTGGTGAAACTGTCACAGGACATGCAGAGAGGGTGAATCTCTCAAACAGGGACTCAGACCGCAGTAAAAACTGACAGATGTTCTAAGCCTTTTCCTCTATCCAAAACTAACTTTAAAAAGTACCCAAATCCCAGGATCATGATTGGATTTTTTTATTTCAGCAAATGTTATAACAAGATGCACATATTCCTGTGAAGAATGTGTGCCTTGTAAACAATGGCAGAAAGGAAAGGGTGGTTATTTTGCAGCTGGCCTGTAGAGGGCAGTCTGGCTCCACTTTAAGGACTACACTGACTCAGATTTTCAATCTGTCCAGGATAGTGATAATTCCATTAATGGTCAATAGGGGGTGCCAGATGACCATTGAAACTTTCTATGTGTCAGGCTGCTGAATGTACAATATACAGTATGTTCTTTTCATCCCTCTAGTAGTGTGAATGTACAGTATATCATTGTGTTCATCATTGAGAGCCTTTTCTTAAAGGTTCAGACCATCAAAAATCACCAATCTCTATTTCCAATAGCAGGGGCTTCCACTCTCTCTGCTGGATTTTTCTTTATTTTATGTTAGGGAGGAGCAGGAACTCAAGCTCCATAAAACAAGTGCATTAAAGTATATGTGAACCTTCATCTTGTAAGACAACCTATTCAGTTTAAAATAGAAATGAAAGGCAAAACATTTGTGTGTGTGTGTGTGTGTGTGTGTGTGTATATGTGTATATATATATATATATATATATATATATATATAATACCCCCCCTCCCTTTTTTTATATGTGATTTCATGCCCTTTGTTCTCAGCTGCATCTTTATGCGATGAGTGTACTGTAGTTTCTCCTCCCCCAGCTCTCTAAGCTCCTTAGCTTAGAGAGCTGGGGAAGGAGAAACTGCAGCACACTCATCTTCCCACACTGTGCAGAGTGGGTGTGTCAGCACAAGTCTGATCATTGGAGGAGAGCAGGCTGAGTTCCCAGCACAGATAAAAGAACTGACCAGGCTGTGCTCTCATGCTTGATGTGGTCAGGTTATAACAAGAAAACAGAGGGACTGGTTGGAATAACAGGGATTGCACACAAAGGAAGTAATACAAGTACATCATACAGCAGGCACATATCAGGAATAGGAAATGCTGGGTTTATATTCTTTAACAGCGATAACAATTTATCAGATAGAAAAGATTAGGTGAGTATACTCACAAAGGGACACAAGAACAGGCCCATCACAAATCTTCAGGGAAAGAAGAACCAGAACTCCTGTGCATGTCTCCAGACAGACTGAGAAGACACCACAAAGGCCTGCAGATGCTGACATGTTTCAAGGGTGGCCCCAGCTTTCTTGGCTTTGAAGAAGAGGGGTCACCCTAGAAATGCATTAACATCTGCAGGCCTTTGTGGCGTCTTCTCAGACAGGATATCTCTTCCTTTAGCTGCATGCTTGACATCCAGGCAACAAGCAGATTTAGAAGGACCATATAGTAGTGGCAGCCTCAATGATTGGCTTCTAGTAACAGGCAGAATGCTTGTGATCAATCATTTATTACATGGCTGCAGTGTCTTATGACCTAACAGCCTTCTGTAACTTGGCAGTAGTCTCTTGTAAGATTGGAGCAGTTTGTCACGTGATGGTCTCCTGAGTACTGTCCATTATGCCTTTTTTTTTTTTTTTTTTTTTTTAAATTTCAATAGACATTTAAATATTTAGGGAAGCTTTCAAAGTATTTCCTTCTTTTCTGTTTAAGCCGTACCAATCTTGGACCAAGAAAAAGCAAACGCCACAAAAACTTGTCCTGAAACTTTAAATGTTAGTGCAAATAAAGTACCATGGACAGTACTCGGGACACCATCAACGTGACGTTGTTTTCATTGCAAGTGCACTAATAGGGTCACAGTCAGCTCAAGCATGTCCATGTCCTGTAACATGGATTGCCCTCTAATCTGACAGTCTCTTGTTCCATCCAGCAGCCTGTTGTAACATAGCAATCTTTCATAACTTGATCAGAGTAAATTCATGTCCCAGGTAGGGTTGCAGGAACAGCTCATTGGTCAGATTGGGGGTACAAGAGGGTGCAAAAGTAGGTTGCATGGATGGGTTTTGGTTTGTAGAACCAGGCTCTTAGAATCCTGCTTGGGTATGCCTACATCTATGTATACATTCATATAGTCCACA